ATAAAAATATCATTTGAATACTATGTATTCTCAGCTATGACAAAAACAGTTAAGATCCAGATACAGCTGGTAATACTCTTCCTCTTAAGAATGAAGGTAAGGTGGAAGCAACTCCCCATTCTCTAAATTTTGAAAAACAAACACTTTTTCTTCTATATTATTTTGTGGACCTTACACACTCATGCTTACTTCTGGCTCTAAATTCTTGCTAATGCTAAATTATTTAAGTCTAGAAATGGTCTCATCATCTCGTATGCACTGTACTAGTCCATGAAGATAGGGTACACAGCTTTATTTTTATTTTATTTATTTTTATTTTTATTTTTTTTTTATTTTTATAGAGGCATGTTTTCTTTCTTTCTTTCTTTCTTTCTTTGTTTATATATGCACTGGGTACAGTCAGAAGCGCGGGAGGGTGAGAGAATTCACCAGAGCCAGAGCGGGAAGCAGAGCAGGCAGAAGGACCGAAGTACACTGCTGAGGGGAGCAGCGGGCGGCAGGAGAGGTCTGCGCACCATGCGGGACCCTCCTCCGGTGGCCGGGAAGCAGCTGGGGATCGAACCGGCGCCGCAGAGGCGCGGGCAGCTTCGCAACCCAGCGCTCAACCGCTGCGCCACCGGGGAGGCCCGGTACACAGCTTTATTAATGTTCTCAAAGAAAATGCATTTGAATGTAGGAGACCTTACTGAAATTTTGGAAGGATTAGGGAATTTATGTTTAAATCAAGTTCTCCCTGTTGGCATGAATGGTGTCCTGAAGGAACTCACAAACACAGGTTTTATAAACTCTACCCCCACTCCAGACCAAAGAGATCCAACACCATGACTACAAATCCCATAAAGTCATCACCACTGAGGGGTGGACTGCTGGGAACTAGAGTGGAGTTAAGCAGCCTGGCTTGGTATATATACCATGTCTGGCTTTGGGGAGTCCTTGGTTTCTTGCCAGCTTTCAGCGTGCTATTGGGGTCCCAGCTCAGCGGAACTGGTAGGACACATTCACCAATTTGTCTCCTTCTCTTTCTCCCTGAGTTAGTCCTTGCTTTATTTCCCCTTTTTTGGTAAATAAACCCTTCATTAACCTTTTTGTGTGTGCTCACAGTTGAGTGTCTCTATTATTATAAGTCTCTTTTAAGCACATGGGTGAGGACCCACAGTCAGGCCAACCCATTTCACATTGGGGTTGCTCTGTAACATCCCCACCATCAAAGTGATAAACAAAGTGGATAGAAATGAAGTTCTGTTATCCAAGTGCCTGGGGTAGAATTGTGACTTTACCATTATGATGAATCAAAGTTACCGTATATCTCTGAGCTTCAGTTTCTTTATGAGTGAAATAAAGATGATAATAGTAACCTACCTCATAGGATTTTTTTGCAAGAAAATTAGTCCATAATTCAATTTTAGGATAACCTAGCATACAGAAGTGTTCAATATCTATTACAAATTAATTAATTAATATATACTTAAAGGTCTTCACCATTTCCAAACTGATAATTGTATGACTTGGCCATGTTGCTTCCTCTAAGCATACTCTGTCCTTACTCCCCTGCTGAACTCATATTGTTATTTTTGTAACTTTGTAATTCCTATTTTTAGTTTCCTTATGTTGCTTAATATACAGTAATTTCATCACCAATTTTGTGGCCTTAGTTTATATGATTAATGGCCTTAGGAGTTATTGTTCCAAGTGGTTTAATCAAGGTCTTTTCCTAAACTAGGACGAATTCCTCCCTAATAGAAATTCTAATGGAAAGTATCGTACGAATGTGACCAGTTATTTCTATATATTTAAATACATGTATGTGTGTATGTGCAGCACATACTTGCATGTAGTCAGTTTTTTCCAGAATTTCATTTGTGTGTGTATAACATTCTTAATTTTTGTAATGTATTGTGATCCAATTTAGCTGTACACCTTTGAAGATGGTACTCTAATGCCTTATGACTTTTTTTTTTTAAGATTTATTTTATTTGTTTATGCATACAAGACCTGGGGTGTAGGCCAGAAGTGTGGGCGGTGAGAGGATTCACCAGAGACATAGTGGGGAGCAGAATGGGGTGATTGACTGAAATACACTGCTGAGGGGTTAGGGTTAGGGAGTAGCAGGCAATACAGGAGAGGTCTGTTGCACCATGTGGGTCTGCAACCTGGCCAGGCACTGAACTCATGCTGCAGTGGCTGGAGATAGCTTGATAGTGGAGACTTAACCCCTTGCGCCACCAGGGAGGCCCTCTTAGGACATTTTGATTATATGAAACTGATTTTTGCTCAAGGTTACTCACTAATTGCAGAGCATGGATCCTAAGAAGACTTTGAACTGCTTCCCAAAGCCCATGTTCCTCATACTATACCTGACCATTTATTTGTCTGATCTCATTTGAACCTCCCAGAATCTCCAGAAACCAGTACTATTATTATTTTTTTACAAGTAAGGAAACTGAGTCTTAGGGAGGTTAAGTGATTTGACCCCAATATCGTGTAGCTAGTAAATGTCAGCACCCAGATCAGTCTGCCCTTTGCAGATTTGCTTTCTAATAATTAGGTTGTATTAACTTCTTTCCCTTCTGTCCCAAAACGGGTCACCAAGACAGAGTGGGGGATCCTAAGATAGTTAGGATGATTTGTTCTAAGGAACTACTTAGAGTCTCTGTTAAAAGAAAAACAACTCCCTAAAGGAATTCTACAGGAGCCCATGGGAATGCTAGCAATTCAGTCAAATTCAGTTCATGGAATACTGAATTTAAGGGCATTAGCCTTCTAGCATTAGCCTTCCTAATGTTTCGGAATATGCAAATGAAATGTTAATGTCAAAACCAAGCGGGAGAAACTATTTATTTTGAGAGGGAAAATATAGTATAATCGCTCTATTATAGAATACTGCTAATGTAAGGAAACCAGAGGGCAAGACCAGCAGGTTTTTGACAAAAATCACAGCTGAAAATGTGATTGAAGAGAAAAAATTCAAAGATTTTGAGTGCGTGCGTGCGTGTGCCCGTGTGCGTGTGCCCGTGTGTCCGTGTGTGTGTGTGTGTGTGTGTGTGTGTGTGTGTGTGTGTGTAGGTGCGCCCTTAAGGTGGTTTTATTAAGCTTCCTCACCTCCATAGCCGGCGACTGGAAGCCTTCTGATGAAATCGCAGTTTGTGACAATTACTACTTGGCATTCAATGCTAGTGAGCAGCCTCACACAGGGGTGACCCTGTGATGCACCAAAGGCAATTTAATGCCCCTGGCGAACTGGTTCAGGGACCAAGATTTTATTCTGTTTCGCGGATGAGAATTGTGATCCCGCAGCCAAGATTTAGAGCCACTTAGGGCTCCGACAGCTCCACCCCAGTGTTTCAGGAGAAAAATATTCCTTCATGCTCTCTGCCTGATCTGAAAGCGACACAGCTTCCCGATCTTCTGCCTGGGAGATGATTCAATCCTTACAAATTGATCGGAAAGCCCGTCGATCGCGCGGGGTGCCTGGCTTTCTGGAACCGACAAGGGAGGAGCGTGGCTTTTACTTTGAGTAACTTGAGCATTTTCTGTTTCCAACTTAAACTCGCAGCTTAATTCAGAAAAAAAGTCACACTCTGTGGCTCCTGTAGATACTGGGAAAATCCGTGTGACGAAGCACGGTCCAGAATTTCCTGATTTAATTCCCCTGGGGAAAGAGTGTTTTCTATTTGGTATCGGGCAGTCGCCTTTAGAGCTCTCCCCTCAAAAGAAGGCGTGCGTGGGGATGGTGCCCGGGTGCCTCGGGGAAGGAAATTCTGTGGGGACTCAACCTGAGGGGGTGGGGGGAAGCAAATATTGTTTAAAAAAAAATAAAAAAATAAAATAAAAAAAAAATAAAAAACCCTATTTGCCCTTACCTAACATGGAAAAAAATAAATAAGGTGTGTGAGAGGGAGGGGGAGGGCCCAGGCGGCGATCAACTGAGAATCAGCCGGGCACGTCCGCGGCCCCAGCCAACCAGCCGCGGCTCTGAAGTCCCCGCAGGCGAAGTTTCCCCGCGCCGCCCCTTCCTTCCCCACCCCGCGCCCGCCCCGGGACCCCAGGTGCGCGAGGCCCCGGGCTTCCCGTGCCCAGCGCCCTGCCCTACTCCTCTCTCCATTCAGAGAAAAAAGCTGCCAAGCCACGTTCGGAAAAGTCCCCGAGGATTGAGCGAGTGGGAGGAAGGTACGTCGGGGGGCAAGAAAGGGGCCATTTGGCCTTTTGAACTGCGGCGAAGCGCCACGCGGAAGTGAAAGGTGCCGGGCGCTCAGCTCCGCGCGCCCGAAACGCCCCGGGGCGCTGACGAGGCCCGCGGCCCACGCTGGCGCGCGCTACTAATACGCTCACCTATTGGCGGGCGGGGCCAAGGGGCGGGGTCACGAGAAAGCCCCGCCCACAGGGAGGCCGGGACCGCCTTTCGCGTCTCCCTGGCGGAGCTCCCGAGCGCTCCGAGTCGGACTCGGTCCTGCAGCGCCTCTAGGCTGCGGCTCTGCGCTCCAACCACCTGCTCGGCTGAGCGGCCTCAGAAGCGGGGAGGAGAGGGAGGGGGGAGGCTGGGAGAGAGGGAGGGAGGGAAGAGGCGGAGGGGAGGAGAGAGGCCGCTTACACACGCCTTCCAGTTCCTCCGCTCAGAGCAGCCCAGAGACCGCGCTGCCGGCGCCCCGTCCCTGCCTGCGCTGCTGCCACCTGAGGAGACCGCCAGGACCCGGCGCCCCCGGCGACCACCCCCGGAGACTGCTCCGAGCACAGGGCTTTGATGCACGCTGCCGCTACCGTTATTATTATTCCAAGACGCGGAGAATAACCGGCCAGCCAGAAGGAAGCACGTCCACCTTTCTAATAACTCAAGTGTCTCCGTCTCCCAGGAAGAGGGAGTCGCCGGTCCGGGGAGAAGCGGCTCTGGGCTCCGGGGCGGGTGTGCAGCGGCAGCGAGGAGGCGTCGGGGCACTGCCTGGTGGAAAGTTGCGCGGCTGAGACCCGTCGGAGCAGCCCCACAGCCCGGGGGGCGGTTGTGTCGGGAGCAGCCGCTGCCCCTGCGTCCCGACCCGGGAGCGCGCGGGCAGCGTGGGGCGCGCAGCGACGCCCCCTGGGGCCGCGCCAACTCTGTCGGTGGCCCTCGAGGAGAGGAAGGGGGAATATGGCATCAAAGGCGGCCCCCTCCTGCCGTCTGGTCTTCTGCCTCTTAATCTCCGCTGCAGTGCTCAGGCCAGGTAAGCCGGGGCCTCGGGCATCCGGGGAGGGTGGGGGCGCGGGTGAGTGTCCCCGCGCCGAGTCCTCGCACCCCCCAGGGCCGTGCGCCCAGGCCGCGCGGGGCAGAGGAGGGCACCGCGGTCCTGGCGCACGGCTCACTTGGGTTCAGCCACCTGGGCCACACGTTTGGGCTCGGCCGCTTGGCTCAAGTTTGGGCAGCGACTGGGGGCTCTGGGTGAATCTGGAAGTTGGGTGCGGTCGGGGATTCGACTGCAGGGGCTGGCGAGCAGGGTTCCTCCGGCTCCGCACGCTTCCCCTGCGACTCCCCCCTCCTCCCCCCGCCACCCACCGGAGGCGAGCTCTTGCCCGCCGAAATTTTCTCGGTTCTTGGCGTCAGAGTACAAGTCACAGCTCTCGGAGCAGTTTCCCTTTCGCTTAGCTCCCGCAGGCAGTAACTGCCGGTACTTTTTCCTGGCAAATATGGCCTTGTTATGGGTTAAAGAAGGGATGGGAGGTGTAGAGGAGAAAGGTAGGACTTTAATCATTTCCTTAAAAAAAAAAAAAAAAAGACCTAAACTTAAATCTTGGTGTAACGCCTCTTCTCCCATCGTCTGGATGGGTGGTGAGTTAGGGGATGGCGGCTGGCAAAGGACGCAACCTGAATTGAAATTAAAATCCAGATTTGTCAAACCTTAGTGAGGGGGTTGGAGATTTTTCAGGACCTGAGATTTTACCCCAGTTGTCGTTTTTTGCCTTAGGGCAAAAAAAGGGCAAAACCCCCAACAACTAAAGCGGGAATCCCTTTGCTTACCCTGGGGACCTTCCTGGAGCTGTCATTTCGGAGACCTGCCGGGCAGCCGCCTCCAGGTTTCCTAACGGGGCATTCTGTGTGCTTGCTGTCACTTGACCGAGCAGCAGGTCCATTTCCTCGTTAGATTTGAGGATTTGGGGGATTTTCGTCCCTCTGTGAAGTTTTGATCTGTAGACAGCTGCAAGTAAAACTACTTCCTGTCTTTTTAGGCTTACTCTTTTTTTTAATCTAAGCAAAAAAATCACTTCCTTTTCGCAACTTTAATGTCTGCCCATCTCTTGATTGTTGGCAAGCCGAGGCCAACGAATAGGGTTGAAAGTCCTTGGATTTCTCCCAGGAAGAGGGGGAAAGCGGGCGGTTAGCTGAAGCCTGAGGTTCACAAGTGGTGACTGCTGTTGCTGTGCGATTGTGGTGGGATGCAGGGTAGTGGTGAGGGTTGCTCTCCCCGAATCGCTTTATTAAAGTTACATTTGGGGTGAGGTAATGAGCTCACCTGCTCTTCTGAGATTGGAGAAAGAGGTGTCTGACATATCTCCAGCTCGGAAGCAAAGACCGTGAAACCAGAGTTGAACCAGATTTAAAGCAGGTGGGGTGGAGTGAAAACATCGAGAGGTGGGAGGGGACACCTCCATTGGGGTTGGCATGGTGTGGAGCTCACTTTTTCACTATACTAGTGCCCGATGGGGGCAGGAAGGGCAAACATTCTGGGACGGGGGAATACAAGGTAGAAGGAGGGAAAGGTTGTTTGTAAAATGCAAAGATCCACACGCCCACTGTAGTTTTCAGTGTCCCCCTCTTGTCACTTTTGAGAAATATAAGCCCAACTATATCTCCCTGACCACAAGCACACGCCCGGTTTTCTTTTCCATGCGGTGGCGCTGGAATTTATTTTCAGTTGGGCCACCTCGGAGGACAGGTTTTTCCGCACATTTAACTGCTAATAGGGGAGAGGTTCTGCTTTAAGATCTCCTTTGTGGCGATTTTCCTGGCGCGGCAGGCTAGCGTTTCTATCCCGCACAAAGCCGCGCGCTTTCTGCGAATCCATAGCACAGTCCCACGGTCGCTAACCACCACTAATCTGGGGGTGAGAAGCCTCAGACCCTCAGATCCGTGGTTTTATTGAATTTACCGCATGACATGTGCGCGAAATTCCCGGTGCGGTCGGTGTCAGTGTGTTTTAAAAGAAAGGATTATGGCACCAAGGCGCGGTGTCCAGGCGAGGACGCAAGTTCTGGAGGCCAAGTGCGCCTGCTTGGAAGCCCTTGGCACAGCTGAACCCGGTGGGATGTGGTGCCAATGACTGGTTTAGTGAAAGGGACTGGCTTCCCTGCCTGCGGTCTTTCATTTCCGAAACGGTTTCAATTGTGTGTGTCCAGACTTCGAGGACAAAAACTGGAGTTTGTGAAACTGCTTCTGCAGTTCTTTTTGTCTCTAATCACTACATAGTCTTAGATCTATTTGAGGCGTGGCATGTTACCTATTTGAAGGGAGGGGGAGAGAATATATGAACCATGAAAACTGAATTCAGTGATAAAGGCAATGAAGTATGTGCTCAGCATCCGAGGAACAAGAATCTCATTATTCTTGTAGAAAGAGCGTCAGCCTGTGGTGACATTTTGTATTGCTTTAAAAAAGGCTTTCCTTGGTTATTTACAACCAGGAGGTGGGATCCTGCAATTAACTGTTTCTTCACCTGGGTCATCTTTGTGCCTCCTTTTCTGGACTTTTTTTTTTCTAAATTGCTCACTAGTGAAAGAGTCATTCTATGACATTAGTAAGCTTAAAGCTCTTTTTTTTTTTTTTTTTACGCCAATGGGATATTATGTTTGGAACTTACGCTTTTATTTCAATAGTCCTTGGGAAAAACATAACCTCTGATAATGAACTTTCAACTGCTTGAAGTGGTACTATTAAAAATTATTAATTTTAAAACTGCTAAGTGCTTAGTAGTCAGTAAATATTGCTTTTTTTTCTTGATGATTTATTAAATTCAATAGTAATTTACAATTTAATGGGGTACTATTTACAGGAAGCTGTTTTTCTAAGCTTGGCTCAGAGCCATATGCCTCAGGAACTTCACCAAGTCATTTCTCCTTAGGGGAGATCAGCTTCTCAAGTGTAAATAAAAGGATAGACTAAGGATCTATGCTGAGATTTCTGCCAATTCAAAACTCTGTTTCCAATGTTGTAAGGTAAATAACCAATTTGGGTGCCACAGTCATGTTCCAATTATATTTTCTTTTAGACAGTTTTAATAGGCACAATCAGTATAAATCTAGTATTAGAAAAATGTCAGTGGACCTCAATGGCTGGTTTTCTATCCTTTCCCCTACTTTTATAAACTCGTTATATTATCTTATATTTTCTTCAGACCTGAATAGGTCTAGTAAAAAAAAAAGATGTATGATGGAAAGGAATTAGTTTCCCACTGCCCTGGGAAAAGACAATGATAAAAATTTTTAGGTCTCAAAATACTTGATTAGTGTAACTTCCTGGAAGTCAGTCTCTATTTGAACTGCTTGTGTAATTCCTACAATGAAACATAAGTGATGGTTAATGCTAACATGTTAATGTGAAAAAGCTTCATATTTATATGTTAAAAATGCCCCTAAAACAAAGACACTAATCTGCACATACGGTTGTAAGTACAATAAGAAGGAACTAGAAAATACTAATGCTTTCCTGTTGTTTTAAATCTGTAGATTCCAGGATATTTTCATGACATAATTCCAAACTTTCTGACTTTTTAGAAAATTCAAACTAGTTTAAATAGAAACTTGAAAGAGAATGGTTGTCTACTGGTGACTTATTAAGAATAAGAAAATCAATAAAAAACTATTTTAATAATCTTGAGTATTACCAGAAAATTCTTTATAGTGCTGTTAGTGCTCATGTGTTTAATTTTTAGCTATGTCATAGAGGAATGTTGTAACCTTGGGAAAATTATTTTTTTTCTTTTGATTTCTAATCTGTAATTTTTTCTCCTTGTATATTACATGGTTCTGATTTCAGTGATATTAGTAATTCCCTTGATCAGCATAGAATTTTTCAAGTGAAACAGGCTACATTAAGAATTTATTATATTGTAAATAGAATAATACTCTTTAATTTACTCCCCTTAATTATCACCTTGACCATTTTATTAAAAGCAGGCAAAAGCATCTCTTTACTCTTCCTTTCTCCTTTTTTTTTCTTGCTCATGTTTTTATGTTGCTAAACACAGGTCTTTATAAAATTGAGTACTATCTAAGTTGTCAGCATTACTTGTTATAAGATGGCAGCACTTTGTCAGGGAGTATTTTAGATGCTTTATGTAATCACCTTGTCTTATATCCCAAACACACCTCTTTCTGTTGTGGCCTTTTATTTAGCATAACATATCATCAAAGATTTCTAGTTCCCTGAAGCTATTAACTCAAGTAGACACATGCATTATATATTCCAAATATGCAGGCAAGCAGCATAGGTGCAGCTATGATTCAAAAGTGTCTGTGTTCTTCTGTGTATACATAGAAACTTGAACTCCTCTCAAAGTTTTAATTTTACCTTCATTGTTAGGATTTCATAAAGGCCCATCTCATTTCTTACTCTTGAATGTATGAGGCTTATTAAAATAAGAGATAGCTCATGAGAATTCTAAAGACAGTTTTCTTAGGAGTGATGGATGATGAATGAATATTTATTCAATTATTACTTTTGCATAGCAGCTTCTTTTTATTTTCAATAAGACATGAAAAAGACCAGAAAAGTGTCCATTTACATTTCTCATTACCTTTTTCATTGGGGCAGAATTTTCCCTTCCCTACAGAGAACAAAGTCAACGCCAGAATATATCTTCCTTATTTAAGAAAAGATATTACAAGCTTTGATAAGGTTAAATTCTACAGTTATTAGAAGTATCCCTATAGGGTACAAAGTATTATATATTTGAAGTTACTGATATTTTCATCCAACTAGTTTCTCTGTTTGAATAACATTTATATTCTTTACCCCTTTATTATTAGAGGGACACCTTTTATATACATATATATATATATTTCAGCTAGTACTAGTTCCTAATGTACTGTGATATTCAGTAATTGTTTTATGGTAACCTATTATCAGAGTCCATTATTGTAGTATATGTTCCAAGAATAAAATTAGCTTTTAGTACTTTCTCTTATTTATCCAATCAGTTCTCATTTATCCATACCATTCAAGGGGAAATCA